TCACCCAAAGTTCCTCAATTATAATATTTAAGGTTCACTTGCCAACCCATCAATGTCAAGAGTCCGACAACCACTCAAGTTTTAAGGTGACGGGCACCACTATACATAATCCAATGTGAATTAAAATCCGAGTCATTACATAACCCAACGTTTTAGATAGGTTCTTAATTTTATTTGCTATATTTTAGTCTGGTGTAGCGATTTTATCTGCATAGCCTTAATGTGTGAGATTTTTATTTAATCTACTAGTATGTTGTCTGTGAATTTAGAATTTGCTTGTGTATGTTTTCTAAACTGTTCATCTTAAATACAATAAACTTCTTAAGCATGTCAAGATATCTTGCCTCTCCTCATTTTTCTGGTAATAATTCAACAACACTTCTTTGTTAACAAAAGTGGTCATGTGAATGGTTATGAGTTCCTTTCTATCAGTTTGCTTTGCGTGTTAGACCTACATGTGCACATGTTTGAGACTAATATATCTAGAGATTGGGCCAAGCAAAAGGCAAAAAGCTTTTGCAGAATCAATGTTGTAGGAATGATTTGGATGCCTGAAATTGACTTTCTAGTAAATGTTTCTATATGGTGAGGATGTTTTACAATGTGTTTGAATTGATATTTTTTGCAACTGAAAGCCTTCTTTTTTTTTTCTTCTTTTTTTTTTTTATCAGCCAAAAGAAAAGATTTTATTAATCAAAAGTAGATCAAGAAACTTACAAAAAGTGGGAACAAACACTGCATCATTATCCAAAACATAGCATCCCAACAATGTTGGCACCCTATGCATGATCAATCATGAGCAATCCCACAACAAACCAGAAAACTAGGATTGGAGAGGTTCCAATATGGCTTCACAAAAAAGAAGCAGAACAGAGGAAACAGAGCAAAAGCTTAAGCCCCAGCACCATGCCTACATTGCTGCAAATTGAAGATAAGATTATAAACTATAAAAGCCCTTTTTGAGGTTTAGGGGCTTTCAAAGATTTAGCATTTCTTTGTTTATTCGAGAGAATGAGTGGAAAGAGGAAAGAGTTTATGAAATGATGAAGGAATTATCCATCCTATGCGAATTGGTTCCAAGCTTGAGTGCTTGTTAAATATCATAGGTGTGATTCATGAACTTCATTTAATAGACAAAGCAATCACAAATGAACCATAGAAATAGAGAGATCGAAAGAAAAACACCACCTAAGTCTAGTATAGGAGACAAAATCCTAAAAAATGAAAGCAACACACCACACCACTACCCTGCTAGAAGCAAAATCAAAACAAAACACATAAAACAGGACAAACAAACCCACTCAAAACTTAGATGATTGCCCTCTGGATGAGATGACCAACAAAGACTCAATTGGATCCTTGCATTTCTCGAAAAACAAGCTTGGTTCTCTTGGCTTTTGGAACTCAGGACTAAAGTCGTAGATGTCCAATAACAGTGGAGCCAAGTTCCCATGGAAAATCTGGTTCACCAGCTACATGGAAATACAAAAATCAAGAAGACAGGATATTATACAATGTCGTACATGTTGATAGCATGCAAGATGGCAAGAGGTTGAGTGTGTCTATTATTCATGGTTGGATTACGCTGACCACAAAGCCTACTTGTTGATTTGAGAGCCAAGACATATGTAATACAACAAGTGAGCTACTGCAGAATTCAAGACACATTATTGTATCTCTAACCGTGGAAATTATAGAGAATTGATACTTTTAAATTAGGCATATAAAAGTTTGTAAAATGGTAATTAGTAGAAAAGAGTAGCAAAATAGACTGGAAACAGGGTGTAATTGAAGGGTATAAGAAGACAATTGATAGCAAGAACATCATGCAATCCAAGGATAAAAGGAAAAATAAATACTCAAGAGCTCGAGCAATTGATGTCAAAGAGTTGTGCTAATGTAATCGTGTAGAATTGATTTTGCAGTGTTAGCCTTTGCTTTGATAGTATCGTAGCAACTTGTTGCATGGTTGGTCGAGACAGTGGAGTGGTGTGTAAACATGCAAATGCTAGTTTCGCAACAACAACTACTTGCTCTGCCACTTGATTCCTCGGAGGTGGGAGGCGTTGGTCCAAGACGTCCTTCAAAAATATCCCTTGCGCAGTTGATGTTGATGATGAGGACGAGGATGACGATAAAGAGGAGATTAGATCACCGGGATGCTTCCCCATAATCACTTCCAATGCCAACACCCCAAAACTATATACATCGCACTTCTCATTCACTTCCATTGTGTACGCAAGTTCTGCCAAAAAACAATAGGATTGTTAGTTCATTGAAGCAGCTACCTACCTTTCCATACATGATTTTCAAGACATCAATAGGATTGTTAGTCACCAATATTAACTAAAGTCTTTCAAGTGTTATTACTCTTTCTGATTTGAGAGAAATAAAGAATTAATTTGAGAGAAATAGAGAATTAATGAAAATTTGCTCACTACCAAATGTCAACTATAGAAAGATGAGTTTTTGAAGCAATGAACTGTATACAGTGGCTTTTGTAGGACTATTCACAAGTGCAAGGATAGATGCATGAGTTTGATCTTAGGGAGCAAACTTTCAATCAAGGAGAAAAAATTACTATTTGTGTTGCTTAGTTTGGATAATTCTCATTGAAAAAAATGTGCATTTTTGTAATCGCTGTAAAAATAGGTAAAGTTAAAAGACTCAATCTATCGACAAGAGGATAAATTATAAGCTTTCTTGCTTTACAAACACTTTGGCATAACTCAAATATTATTAACAATTTTTGAAATTCAGAATGTCTAATTTTGTAACTGGAATTTCAAATGTAAACTAACTTTACTTGCAAGCTTGCAAATATCTTCAATTTTGAAAAATCAATCATTTTTTTTTTAAATCAATTTTTCTAATTCTTATAATTGAGTATCACACGTAATTGTAAAATGTCAACTAAAAAATGCTCAATGGCAATGTGATCTCTTTGTTGGTGACTACGACTTCCATCAAATGTAATTAAGATCTCAAAGAAGAAGAAGAGAGAAAGACATAAGTTAAATAGAGAAATAAGAAAAAGAGAAAGAATAGAAAGTATAAGTTGTTTTAAACTAGAGATGGAGAAGAGAAAGAAAAAGTGAAAATGGAAATTGAGTTCCAGGCAGAATTGAAATAACAAAACAGATAGAGGAAAAAATTGAGGAAAAAGAAGAACAAGAAGAGAAGAGGAGAACCGAAACAAACAAGAAGAATAAGAGGTAAAGAGAGAAAGAAAACCTAGAGTTGAAGAGTAACGATTGAAACTTAAAACTGCAAATTGTGTTAAAGAAAATCAATAAAATCTTGGAGGGGTGAGCCTATATAATTTATAAATATTGATAACTAATACCACTATATTTAAGAAGTTATTTCAAAATTTTGGGGTGGTAGTCACCCTGCTAGCCCCCTCGATCCATCGCTGCACAAGTGGTAGGTCATTAGAGCGGGCCAAAGTCTCAACTAAAACCATAAGTACTAAAATAAAGGAAACACACGGAATTCGGCTGAAATAATCATTTTCTTGAATGAACGTTAAACAAAGAGAAAATATTCCACGTCTTGCAAAAAAGAGTTTTTATTTTTTACTTTTTGGTAAACCTTGACATAAGGAGAAATTTATTAATAATCTAAAACTAAAATCGAGTGGGGTAATGAGCCTTACCTCTCAAGCAATAGAAGAAAAAAAATATTCATGCAAAAGAATGGGTAAATTACACTTTACATCCTTATACTTTACATCTAATCCCACTTTACGTTTTGACCTTTTAATTGTTTTAGTTAACCCCTCCAGACTTTGAGTCAAATTGGAAGTGGGCCTATTTGTATAACCTTGTTTCAAAAACTAACAAAGAATAGTCATGTGATAAAATTAATTACAATTAGTACACTTGCACTTTTATCAAAATCTCACTTTATTTCTTATCAACTTGTATTTTTACCAAAATCTCATTTTAAGACAATGTTATATGCTTAGGCCCAATTGAAACTGGACTTGAAGTCTAGGGGCTGACTGAAATAATTTAAAAGTCAAGGGGCAAAGTAATAAATGGTGTAAACTATAGGGATACAGTGCAATTTGGCCCAAAAAAATCAACACTAACAAACTTGAATATATATATACAAAGTACCCGACCTATCTAAAGCCACAATAGGCTTAACCAATCTACAAGGCTCTTAAAAAGTAGAGAAATAAGAATTACCATCACAAACCCAATCAGCTAACACATCTGCAACACTATTTACTTCAATGAATATTTTTCTTCTAAAATGGCTTTTCAGTAGCTATGTTCATCATACATGAGAATTTAAGGGTATGCATATTAGAAAAAATGGAATAACAAGCTTAAATCTAGCAATTTGTCATCATTAGTAAGTTAAAATGAACAAACACTACATGGGTAATTTAATTGGCAATAAATCATTGCAATAGAAAAATATATACCAGGAGCAGCATAACCAAAGGTCCCAGCAAAGGAAGTCCAATTGGATGAGTTGAGATTCATAAATCTAGCTGTGCCAAAATCAGATATGTGAGCCACATACTCCAAATCAAACAAAACATCCTTGCTTGATATGTCTCGATGGATGATTGGTTGAAAACAATCATGGTGCATATAAGACAGAGCATTTGCCACACCTTAACACTGTTCACTCTCTTAATCCAATCAAAGACTACTACATCATCGTCCATACTCAGCACCTTTCCCAAGCTTCCCCCTTCCAAGAACTCATAAACCAAAAATGAGTGCCTTGGGTGTGAACAATAACCGTACAACTTTACAATGTTGTGATGCCGAATCTCAGTTAATGCACGGATCTCACTTGTAAACCCTTTTAGATTAGCCCAGTCATCATCAAGTGTTGCATGAAGTTTCTTCACAGCAACTACTTGACCATTTGGTAGGTCAGCTCTATAAACGGTACCATATCCTCCCCCTCCAACACAATATTTGGCACTGAAGTTCTCAGTGACTTCAATGATGTTTTCATAGACCATTTTTCCATCATAGCTCCATATTGCAAAAACATTATCATGGTTTACTCGTGATGGCTTGTTTTTTGTGTTCCTCACTTTCTTACGAAAAGCCATGAAAATGCCAAGAACCATTAGCAAATGAAACAAAATTCCAAAAACAAGAAGTATAGTTAGTGACATTACTTTCTTGCCCTTTTTTTCAACATCCCCATTGTTCAATTTTGTCAAGCAAGCCTTCAGACCAGTAACATTACCACATAAACCTTTATTACCTTTGAGTGCCTCGAATGGAGCCTCTTGAAAGGCCTTGATGTCAGGAAGAGGACCCTCTAACTGATTGTATGACACATCAACGGAAGTAAGACTTACCATTTTATTGAAAGATGATGGCATAGAACCAAAGAACTCATTGTGGGAGAGATTCAATGTTTCTAATCTTTGCAATTCGCCAATTTGTTGTGGTATCTTACCAATTAGCAAGTTATTACCAAGATCAAGACTTTGAAGAGTGTTGATCTGGCCTATTTCAATAGGAATGCTTTCCCCAAATCTATTATTGCTCAAATTTAAGTCCAATAGTTTTAAGTAGTCTCCAAGTTCTCTACGGATTGAGCCGCTTAGATCATTTGCTGCCAAGTTAAGGTGCTCTAGATTGGACAACTTACTTAATTCTAGAGGAATATTGCCTAATAGATAGTTATCATCCAGCTTAAGGTTGAATAGTGAAACCAACCTTCCCAATTTCAATGGGATCTCTCCAACTGGATGATTTGAAGAGAGATCAAGAACGGATAGCTGAGTTGCCCCTACTAATTCAGATGGTATCTTACCAGAAATTTTATTGTTAGACATTTTGAGACTAGTTAAATTGTGGCATTTTCCCCAGTTTTTAGATAGCTCACCATAAAAATTGTTATGACTCAAATCAATGTAATCCAAGCTTGGGTATATGCCAAAATCTTCTGATATATTTCCCAAAAGTTGGTTTCTTTCAAGCCTAACTCTGTATAAGCTAGAGCAATTTCTCAAGCTTTTGGGGATGGGACCTGTGAGATTGTTGTCAGCTGCAGCAAAACGTGTAAGTAATCCACTAAAGCATAGGTTTTCTAGTAAATCACCAGTGAGCTTGTTGTAACCTATCTCAAACAATTTCAAATGTGTAAGATTGTTCAATCGTGGAGGAATAGAGCCAGTGAGTTGGTTATCAATGAATATCAAATAACCAAGTTGTTTTAAATTTCCTATCTGTGAAGGAATGCAGCCTGATAATGGATTTAGACTTAAGTCTAAACCCGTCAACTTTGTCAAGTTTCCAATTGTCAAAGGAATGAGTCCTAAAAGCATATTTTCAGCAAGCTTCAAAGTGGTTAACATGCCTAAGTTTCCTATTGTAACGCCCTTAAAATAATAACAATAAACCCATCAGATAAGACATGCATTTACATTTAAACTAACCGCATTCCTTTCATTCATTAGAATTCCAAGACATAAGTATTACATGTTAACCTCATAACAAAATGCCCTACGGGCTTACAGCTTTCCAAGTTAACACTTGGTTACAACAAAGAGTTCTAACTCGTTTACACATTAAGCCCTTGGCTTAAAATTACATGTAATACATCAACAGTAAAACGACAAAACTATGTCCGCCACTAGCCTCCCAGCTATGTCCTTGGAGGTGGCATGCTTCCTGTACCTGAAAATGATATTCCCATATAGGGTGAGCCACAGCCCAGTAGAAATACACTAAACCAACCATGGACAATGACTAAAACATTAGCAATTGATAGTTGGTCAACACTGATACAATCACATAAATAACATATTTATGTCAACGACTTACAAGTCCCAATTACTTTTCATTTTCCCCTTTTCAACAGATAAGCATGCTAGCTCTATCATCATTTCCACAGACATGTATAAAAACTATATCTCACATTCAGATAAGCACAAAAGCTATATCCACATTCTCAACAGATATGTATAACAACAATATCCACAGATAAGCATACAAGCTATATCCACATTCTACAACAGATATGTATATCAACAATATCCACAGATAAGCATACAAGCTATATCCACATTCTACAACAGATATGTATATCAACAATATCCACAGAATACCAAAATTTAGAGACAAAATCCATAGAGAGGAGTAGGATATCCCTACCTCAAATTCGGAGTCCCAAAGGAGAAGACGACAAAACCCAGCGTGCTCCAAAACCCGTGATTTTTATATTAAAATGTAGCCCTCGACGATCAACAACTTTTTTGTAAAGGCCAAAGGTGAGCAAATCACTCCTACTAGATCAAAACCTAGAGAGAAGGTAGTATCTAGAGAGAGAGACTCAACAATGGTGTTTTTGGAAAAGTAAGAGAGAGAACAGAAAGTGAAAAAGTGATTTGGAAAGTCACAAATTCGGGACTTTAACCCAGGTATCCGCTCGAGCGTAAAACACCCCGCTCGAGCGGCTACTCACAGACTTCCGCTCGAGCGGCCAACCTCCCGCTCGAGCGCAGAATGCACTCGCCCAGCACTTTTGCAGAACCAGGCCTCCGCTCGAGCTCCCAACCCTACGCTCGAGCGTACAACGCTGCACAGGAAAATACTGAATGGGTGTAATCTACGCTCGAGCGCCAACACCTCCGCTCGAGCGGACAGGCCAAAAATCTGGGCAACTAGTTTTGGTTTCTAAACTCAACCAACCTGTAACAAACCCGCTCAACACATCCTATAACTCAAATACAAAGTAAGAAAGGACGTAAACAAGATAATAAACAACTACCAACATCCACGGACACACGTCCGGATCGCTATACAACAAGGGTAAACCCGGGATCCCTATAACCCCTGTAAACAAAATAATAAACAACTACCAACATCCACGGACACATGTCCGGATCACTGTACAACAAGGGTAAACCCGGGATCGCTATACCTATAGATGCAGGGATTGAGTCATTGAGGTGGTTCATATTGAGATCAAGATGAACAAGAGACCTCAGCATCCCAACTTCTTGAGGGATTGATCCGGAAAGTTCGTTGTGATAAAGGTACAGAATGGTTAAGTTGCCCAAGTTTCCAATTGAAGAAGGGATTGAACCCGTGAGATTGTTAGTATACAAGCCAAGCTCATTGAGAGAGCTGAGCAATCCTATTTGTTGAGGGATGGAGCCACCGATTGGGTTTCTATCTAGGTACAAGATCCTTAGATGAGTTAGTTGGCCTATTTCGGTCGGAATTGTTCCAAAGAGATTGTTTAGTGCCAAGATAAGGACGGTGAGTCTCCAAAGGCTACCAATATAGGGGGGATGGTCCCATAAAGTGAGTTGTTAAAAAGTATAAGGGAGAGGAGATGAGGAAAGGATGAGAAATTAAGATTAGAAAGAGTACCTTTCAAACCATAACTGCGAAGGTCTATATGGGCAACTTTACTGGCCTTGTTGCAACGAATTCCAAGCCAAGTGCAATGGTTGGTTCCAACCCAGGAGGACAGGAGAGTTTGACTCTGGTTGTGAAGGCTAGCTTTCCAGGTCAAGAGAGTCGTGGGTTCAGTTGCTTGTTTTCCAGTTAAGGAAGAAGCAAAAGCAGCATAATTAAAAAAAGTGGGGAATGCAAGGATGATGAGGCAGAGTAAAAGGGGTGGGAAAGAAAGATAGTGGTTGGGAAGTGTATTGGCAAGAATGTCATTGTAGGCTTGTTTGTTATTAATAGAATAGAAAGCTATAAAAGACAGTAATAAGATGGAGGGATGAAGAGTTGCAAGAGCATGGAGAGGTATTTTTAGATAATACAACTTGGAAATTTTTTTTTTTATCGAACCTGGAGAGGTATTTCTTTCGATAGTTTTGGTTTGGATCCTCCACTAGGAAGTATTTAATTTTGGGAAATTGATGACCAATAAGATCATGCCAGATCGATGCATATGAAAGAGATATCTTTGGACCATCACTTCTGTAACAAATTAGACAACATAAGCATCCAATAGTTTCATTTGCGGCTCTCACCATATTATTATAAATTAGGATAAAATACATTTCTATAAATATACTTTTTCGTGTTACTTTGATTTTTAAAATTTTTTATATTATCATTTAAATATTCACTTTGAGTCAAATTGAATTGATTCAATTTTAAACAAATCATCTAAATCAACAAAATGATAATGAAATATATCTATAGTTTCTAAAATATGAATTTCACGTTATTTTGGATTCTAATATTTTATTTTTTGTCATTTTAAATCCTAAACTTTTTTATTTTTATTTTTTAAGTGTAACTTTGAATCCTAAACACTAATGAAAAAAAAAAAAAGAAAGTAAAAGATAATCATCCTGTTAATTATTTAAACAATACAATGATATACATAATTTTCAAACCACAACCAGTTTTAATAATAATAATAATATTATATGTAGACTTAACTTTACTTGACTTTTGACAATTCTTGTCTTTGTTTTTTTAATAACAATAATATCAGGAGAAAATTTTGAAAATAATTATAAATTTTATTAATATTATTAATAATTAAAATTCTAAATTTTTTTCTTACAAATTTAATAATTTTATCAACTTACATCATTTTTGTAATTTCTTTTTATTATTATTATTACAAAAATGTTATGGACAATGACATATCTATTCAGATTTTTTTTAGTTAGAATGATGCATGGTAAATATTGAATTTGTACGATATAAAATTTATATATGAAAGAGGGATACGTGGTGAAGATTGAATTTATGCAATATGAGATTTGTACATAAAATGAATAGAAACCATTAATATAAAATTTTGAATAATTTTTTAGTTTTATAATTGAATCCATAATGTTACTTTTATTATTATAGGTTGACTTGACTTGACTTTGGGTGGCTACGCCTGTCATCTTGTTCTGTTCTCGGTGGACCATAAATCACAGATGCAAAGTTCGTGGATTTTAATATTTAAAGCAAATTATAAATATATTGAGATGGCACACGCATCTTTGGTTTGAAATCGGATTGGAACGTATTGTTAGATTTTGTAAGTTTATTATGGAGTCTAAATCGATAATTTTAACCGTCAATGTATAAACCTCGCCGAGTATTTTATTTCTGCAAAAAATTACGTTGATAAGATATCAATAACTATTTGATCAAATCATATTCATATTAACGGTAACTATAATTTTAAAAATAAATTATTAACACAAATGTGATTTGATCAAGTGATTATTGATATTTGATTAACGTAATTTTTTATAAAGATAAAGTACTCGACGAGCCCTACGTATTGCACGGTTCGAATCATTGATGTAGGCTCTGTAATGGGCCTACAGAAGTCCAACAACACGCTCCAATCCCAATTAGAGAGAAGTTGTTCCTCATTGACATTTGTTTAAAATATTAATTGTAATTTAGAAAAGAAAAATGTTTGGGAGCTCTAATTGAGTACCCTAATCCATCTCTAATAATGTGAAATGGACCCCACTTCTCACTCCTCATCCTTCCTCTGTCTATCTCTTTCTATTCTCTCTCTCTCCCCCATGTCATTAAAAGTCAAAATAGATATGATATATTAAGGATGTAGCACTACTCTTTTAAAAATTATATTGTCTTTAAAATTTTAAATGCATAGTAAATGACTCATTTTGTTAATAAATCATTAAGTCATAAACAATTTTTAATAATTTTATTGCTATATAGGAGGGTAGTTAAAAATTTCTCTTTTTATATTAATTTTGTTAAATGACAAATTCTGACTAGAAGTATTTGTAATTTTCAAAATCACAAAGGGCAATATATCGGGAATCGCCAAAAGTCAAAAGTCAAGTCAAGTTATTAAAAAAAATCAAATGTCCTGTCAATAAAAAAAAAACATGAAATTCAAGTCAAAAAAAATAACTATAGTCAATTCTATAGTAAAAAAAAAATAACTATAGTGAAAAAAAACATGGTTTATCAAAAATCAAGTCAACAAAAAAAATATCAAAAAAGCAAATTCCAAACACCTACTTAGGCTTGGTTTGACATGTTTGAAAAAAGTCAAAAAGTCACTATCCTATTTAAATCACATCACCTCTCTAACACATCACTTCAAACTTAACCCAAATCCAACCCATATTTCATAAAAAGTCAAAAAGTGCACTTATTTAGATCATCCCAAACAATCTGCACCAAACACCCCCCATTGTATAATATCAAGAGGTTGTTTGGAATATTCTAAATAAGTGCACTTTTTTGTCTTTTGGACTAAAAAGTTGAGGAAAAAAAGGTGGATGTTTGGGTTAACTTTTTATCTTTTTATGAAAAAATGTGTAATAAAAAATTGTATAAATAAGTGTATAGGAGAAGTAAGTGTAATAGGTGTACGACAATTTTTCTGGGCAGAGTGTAGGAGATGAAGACATGATTGCCAACTTCAAGGGCAACCATTTGGACTGTGTTGTTCGGCCCGTGGGGCCCATCACGAGTCCCATTTTGATAATCTGAACCGTTCAATATGTAGAACTTGTCGAATACTATATGAATGTAAAAAATCACATTGATCGGATATCGAAATCACAATTATAGGATTAGTTTTTGTTCACCGGTTAACTATAACACTATCTATTTTTTTATACAAAACTGATTTGATCATATAGTTAGCGATATACGATCAACTTAATTTTTTACAGGCATATATTACTCAATGAGTTTTACATATTGACGGTTCAGATTGTCAAAATGTGACCCGTGGTGGCCCTCACGGGCCGAACAACATAGTCTAAATGGTTGCCCGCGAAGGAGGTAATCATTTTTAGACCAGTACAGTAGACCAATCACGCGGACAACCTTAAGTTGTTTTTTTTTGTGTAAATTTATTTTTTTTGTAAATAGTGATAACTTTTTAGCTTTTTAAAAATTTTTTTTATTTTTTGTCTTTTTCAAGACATGTCACAACAGGCCTTAAAATAATCGTCACAAAAAAAATGTCACTAATTTTCAACTTCCAGTGACAGTTTGAAAAATGTCATAGAAAAATATCACTAATTATAAGTTTTAGCGATAATTTATAAAACTATGACCAAAAAAAGTCACTAATTATTAATTTTTAGCAATATATGTAAAAAATCGTCACAAAAAATATTTTTAACGATGATTTTATTAAGACTTATTTTTAATAAGACTTAATAGAAATTAAATTTAACTAGTAAGAAGTATTGATAATTTACCCAGAAAGTAGAAAGGGACAAACTAGTTCTTTTATTCCTTCAAGTCAAAAAGTGATTTACAATATTGTCATGGCATGCGCCAGCAAGCCGAGTGAAGAAAAGTGAGTTGAACGAAAGAAAGAACCAAAAGTTCTTTAACTCATCAAAAATAATTTGTGGCGTGTTGGAAGGGTGGATATTTTCCTATAAAATATAAATGAAGTAATTTAAGTGATAATGTAACTTTTATGGGATCTCCACCACCATCTGATATATATATATATATATATATATAGATGGGGTAATATGAGTTAAAATGTAACTTTTATGGTGGGCTCCATCATTTGATATATATGATCAGAATTATTTATGAGGTCTGTTCTATGTCTAGTATTGTTGTTTGTAATGGTCATACACTACAAGAAAATACATTTTTGACGACCACTTTTGGCTACCAAATGGCTTTTAGTCGCCAAAAGTTACTGAATTGGCTACCAAAAATAATATTAGTCGTCAAAAGTCATCATTTTTAGCTACTAATTTTTTTTAGTTGGGGAATGTTGATTATTGGCGACTAAAAAAAATTTAGTCAGTAAAAGTGCAACAATTGGCTACAAAAAAATAATTTAGTCGCCAAAGATGCAACAATTGGCTACTAATCACAATTTAGTCGGTAACAATGCAACAATTGGCTACTGAAAAATATTTTAGTTGCCAAAGATGCAACAATTGGCTACTAATCACAATTTAGTCGGTAAAAATGCAACAATTGGCTACTAAAAAATATTTTAATAGCTAAAAATGTCACAGTTGGCGACTAAAAAATAGTTTAGTCGCTGTATAGTTAGTTTTGGCTACGAAAATTATTTAGTCGGTATTTAATTTACTTTTAACGACTAAATTTTAGTCGGCAATTATAATTAAAAATTTTAAAAATTGGACTTCAGATTTTGGGGGCAAAATTAATTAGCTACTAAATATTTCGTCGGAGAAAAGCCTTTATTTATTATGGGCGACTAAAAGGGTTAGTCGGGAAAGAAAATAAACTAGGTTTAAGAAATACACTCCCACACGCTCTAACTCTCTCATACATCTCTGTCTGCCTCTGCTCTCCTCCCGCTCTCTTTGTCTTTCTCTCTCTCTCTCTCACTTTTGTCTCCATCGTTAACGGAGCATCACCGCCATCGCACACGAGCACCACCTTCAATCCACCATTGGAGCATTACCCCAGGTATGTGCTCTCTATAGTCTCTATTCCCCTAATTTCAGCCTCTAGGGTTTTCTTCTTCCGTTTGCATACCTTCACCCAAACCGAACCCCAAATCGACCCATGTTAAGGTTGAGGCATCTGTTCATTCATTGTCCTTGGATATGGAGGATATGGGTTGAATTACTAGAATGGTGGAATGTTCACTGAGTTACACCATAATCTTTTTCAAATTTGTCACACTGGGGGTTTGGGTTTAAATTTGGGAAGCTGGAAAAGAAGATGTGGAGGCCATGGTTTGGTCAATTTGGAAGGCTCATTAAGTATGTTTGTTTTTTTTCTAACTACTGCTCTTGCTTGTTTGTTTTTCTCTACCTACTACTCTTACTTGGCCTGTTTCGTTCATGCTTGTATTTGTTGTTGTCTTCTGACCCTTTTGCTCACCATGTGTTTGACAAAATGTTCAAATGAAACTGGACAATGCTCATGTGTTTTACATCTGTTTATGAGGTTTGGTAGTGCCCAGATTGAATTTAATTGTTTTTTTCAATTACCTGTTCATGAGCTCTTATTAGGTGCAATTTCAGTTTGAGATTGAATTTCATTTTTTTTAATGTTTGGGCCTAATTCATTTTTTTCCTTTTCATTTATGAGCTCTGTACATCCAGGCACTGCTTTGGGCCTAATTCGGTTTTTCTCCACCTGTTGCTTTTCTTCTTTAATCCACAACATGTTGCTGATTTCTTTGCTCTTGTGGAGACATGCCGATTACTTCAACAGTTTGTTCAAGAAATGGTGCGTCTAATCAGTCTTCCTTCTTAATGAAACCACTTATTAATGTTATTTGATGTTAGTAAATGCATGTGACTTTCATAATGGCCCTCCTCAACATACTTAATGAGGCCTAAGTTGTTAAATCATTCTTAGTATAGGGAGGGATCCCCTGCTCTCCCTTGCAAATACTCCCAAACCAAAAACCCCCCAATTTTTTTTTAGTTTTGTACAAAAAATAATTCAATTTTAAAGTTGATATTTTAAAGTTTTGAAAATCAAAATAAATGTTAAATCATCATGTTCTTTTATAGATAATTATAAATGTCGATTGAGGTGAAACGTCACTATTAGACAATTCTCATATATCAAGTGTGAAATTGAAGAAAAGAGTCACGCTTAATGCTAATTTAGTTAGGATAATAGTGATCTTAGTTAGTTTAAGGTTGTAGGAATATATGTTAGAAATAATCTAAGCAAATTAAAGAGTAGAGTTAGAAAGAAAAGAGTTATTAAAAATAGTCAAATCCTAATAATAAGAGAAATGTTTGGAGGACATTCAGTGAATAAAAATTATATTATTTCTGTAAACTCTTGTTTAGTTTATTTTTATTCTCTCTAAGTTTTTCTAACTTGGACATTGGAATGCTTCCAATCAGGTAATACATTAACCACGACGAAAGTGTTCTATTGACTTTGCTTGCTATCATCATCAATCCATCATCATGATGAATTTTTGCCCACACAAAAATATACTCAGCCTCTCACATTTCACACATTAAAGAGAATTAAATAAATTAAATTGTCTAATTTGTAAATGAGCTAAAAGTAAAATGGCCCAATTCATTTTTTTGAGACACCCAAATGGGCCTTAATGAAGTTCGTAGTGATTTTACTTTTATGAGTTCCATCGAATCGTAAAAATCTTCTTGGAACGACCAAAGATTCTATCTTCTAAAAGGAGTTCCAAACTTCCAATTGATTTTTTTTAGTTTCTATTTCAATGTCTCTGTTAGTGCTTATTTTTTTTTATTATTATTGTTATTTTAAAAGTTGTTTGATAAAGTTAAATAGTCTTGAGTCCATGTCCATTCACCTAGTTTAGTGCTAATAGGTAGGTCTCGTTTGATAATTTAATTTTTTAATTAAAATATTAAAACTAAAAATTAAAAATTTATTAAAAAATCAAATATCTCAATAATTTATAAATTTTAATATAATTAAAAAAATTATTTTCAGACACATTAACTTTTTTTCACTTTATACAAAATAAAAAAATCACTAAAAATATGAATTAACAAACGAGAGGAGTTTATTGACTTTGGAAATTCACGTACTTACAGTTGGAACAAAATACTGAGTACTATTATGTAATGCCTTCATGAAAACATACAAATAAAATTAGATGTCTCTTATTTTCTATTAATTTAATCATATACCTTTTTCATTAAATGATAATATCGTCATATATATTATTATTTTAATATTCACTTAACAATCCTATACACTAGAAAAATTATTGTTTCTCCAATGAATGTTATTGTCAAAAATTAAGATCAAGGCCAAATTGGAACTCTCGAAAGACTAGATAAACATTGTGTTGTATTTTAGAATTACTAAGTTTTGTGCCAAATTCGATACAAGATTTAGCTACAATGTGTAAAATAAGTTACGAGTTTGCTATGGGAATTGTGGAAATGATAGTTAAATTTTCTCATTTGAGCTAAATTTGTGTGAATTTAGGAGGGAGGTTGGTGTATCAGAGCACCAAGAAGAGGGCCACAGATGACCAAATAACCCAAGAGAAATGACAGTGAAGTAACACATGAGAATTAGATTCAGGGGCCACTTTGCAGAGAGGACAAAGAGGAGAAACATTGCTGCTTAAGATACCTATATCGAGCAGAAACACCGCTGTTTTAACTCTGTTTTTCCAAGCTAGCCAACCAAAAAAACTGACTTTGGGAGGTAAGGTATTGCTCCAGATGAATTTGCTAATAATGAGGGGAGGCCCAAGGAGAGAAGTACAAAGAGAATATAGGGAAGACACAGAGAAAACACAAGAACCAAGTGCAGACCAAACCAGGCTGTCAGCACTGTTGAGGCACAAGGAGGGGGCAGAAGATAACATTGTATTCAACCTAGCTTCACTGGTCTCTTCCCAAGTATACAAGATTCTTCTATATGGAAAGTTCCAAACTGAAGTGCTGGTTTTCCTGGCATAGTATTGTTGAAGAGAACCATTCTTATCAGCAGACAGGTTAAAGAGGGAGGGGAACTCATCCTTAAGGTATGTAGATCCACACCACTTGTC